GGGGGGGGGGGGGGAGGGAGGGGATGTCACCTTCAGCGCAGCCTGTTCGTTTGCCTAACAACAGGTTTGATGGTCAGTCGGCTCAAGGGACTCGGAGGGGTGGCGTCCAAACATTTGCTGAAGTCACCACGGACCAAGGAATCCTTGAACAAAATGACCACTGGTCACAGCGGTCTCGGGTTGCCGGACATGCGCCCGTTCGTCCTATTGTCTGTGTGTCTGTGTGTTGGAGGGGGGGGTGTGGTAGGAGGAAATTAAGGGTGATAACTCCGCGTGAACCGTAGTCCCCGGAGGTTCTCGGATGAACGGTTCTGGTTCCTGGGCTCGTCGTGAGACATATTAATGGACAGGTCCAGCGAGCTTTGGGTTTCAATTCTCTGCAGCGCATGAACATGCATATCACCCCCTCCCCTCCCCCTCCCTACCCCCCCCCCAAGCCACGTCAACGTGTTACGTCGACGACCCGGCGTGCTAAGATGTTCCCGTCTCGCCGTGACATGTTGATGCCACTGTTTAACTCCACATAAAATCACGTCACTGTCACGTTTGGGGTTCAAGGAGGGTGTATGCCATCTTCATTCTCGCATACGTCTAATGACGCATTCATTGAACTAAACGGTTTTAAACACACCCGGTGACGGACACAGAGTCGAAGTCTACACGGAGATACGTGAGGTCGCCTACAGAACGATACCCAGTGTCTTTGACACAATTTATTGTCTTTTTTAAAAATTATTATTATTTACTTGAAAAAAAATAGTATGGGCATGTGGTCAGGGAATGGGGCTAGAGTGGTCGATGCCCGGGGAGCCCTAAAGCATGCCAGACTCTGCCACGTGAATAATAATAAGCCCAATCACAATAAGCCTATGACGTTGCTTGGTTGGGGCAACATGATGTTAACAGACATGCGCTAGTAACACATCTCTTTTTTTTGGTTGCTTTTTAATCCGAGATCGTTTTTCGTTATAGAATATGGTCTAGTGTAGGGACGGCCTGGATATATTATGTGTAGCTAGTATACAGTTACTTGACGTTCTTTGTAATTTTTTTTTTATGGGTGTTTTATTGAAACGTAAAAAAAAAAAAAGTTAGAGTAACAAATTAACATCATTTAAAAAAAAAAAAAAACTGAATTAAAAACTAACCAATAAATTAAATTTGTTTCTTATTTTGGTGTACAACGAAACAATACATAAAACTATTTTTCTTTAAAAAAATAATGCCAATATTCCTTTTTTTTTTTCTTCTTTATAGTAAGTACCTAACACTATACTAGTCAAATATACATGCATATTTTGTACAAATAAACGACACATTTGGGTACATGTCATTTGTAAAAGGGAAACTATTTATAATATTTATTTTTTATCGAGCACTTCTTCTATCAATCTGTGTGTTTAATTTGTTTGTGTGCGTGAGTCTGTTCATTATACCCATCTTCCTGATTTAACGCCCCCCCCCCCACGCCCCGGGGGGCTTGCTCGGCGACCCGGTGCCTGCATCACTTAGAAAGCTATTTAATCGAGTGTCCCTATTGACGCACTCCCTCACACACACACACACTCATACACTAACTTATGCACGATACGCAGTACACGGTTTAAAGATCTCATTTAGGATCTTTTAGTCCATCTAGACGTGTGATGCTATTATTATGTTCAGCTTATTTTAGCGTTCATTAATACCACATCTGTACACGCGAGTTATCACCGCTGTTACCGTGGGCGATAATTCGATCTCACTTCCGTTATCAGGGGAAAGCACTCGTCCAATCATGAAAGCCCCCCTTTTTTTTCCTCTTCCAAATTATTTGCCCGCGGGTTACACATTGATTAAAGCTAGCTCCATATCACTGCACGACGATTATATAAGTGAAGAGAGGAGAAGATGAAATTGGCCTTGATTTCAAGTTAAAAACTATTTAGATAAAATGTAAGGATGCGAAAATCGTGTATCGCTATGTATTAAACGTTTGGGAAAGGAACAAATTATATAAATGTGGGAGACATTGATTTTTCCTTATAATCATTTTTTATTCAACTTTTTCTATTTTTTTTCCCCCTCAGGTGTGCCACCAGCCCCAAGATTGGCGCCACATAAGATGACGCTGCGCAAACACAAACCGAACCGGAAGCCCCGGACGCCGTTCACCACGTCCCAACTGCTCGCGCTGGAGCGGAAGTTCCGGGAGAAGCAGTACCTGAGCATCGCCGAGAGGGCCGAGTTCTCGGCGTCCCTGACGCTGACCGAGACCCAGGTGAAGATATGGTTCCAGAACAGGAGGGCCAAGGCCAAACGGCTGCAGGAGGCGGAGCTCGAGAAACTGAGAATGGCCGCCAAGCCGATGATGCCCCCTCTCCTCGGGATGGGATTCCCCATGAGCTTGTACGGTCAGTTCCCGCGCAATCCGATGATGTCCCAGGGCGTCATGTCGCCGTTCTCGCTTCATAATGCAGGACTTCAGTCTGGTGTGTCCTATTTGCACTGAGACATAAACAACAAAAAAATTTGAATTTTATGCCGACGTTACCCTCAACCTGCGGAGTAATCTCGAGACAAGCCTAAGGCCCCTCGATTCTGATTCCAGCATAGGAACATTTCAAGCCCTTAAAGTTACATTGGAATGAGAAATCCAACACCGACCCTTTTTCCCAGACCTAAACAAGCCAACAGTCAATCAAAAGCTTGTGTCCATCTATAACCCGCAAAACATGAAACCAAAAACACTCTGTAATGTTCGGCGGAAAGAACCTCCGCTATCTCTCAGACCGTCTTCGCAAATATAATGGTGTTACCGTTAAAATTGTTCGTTGATGTGGGTCGTGTTTAAGATTCTACCGGTTCGACAACAACACGACGTGACGTCATCAAGACCGAAGACGTTAAGTTGTAGGCTTCAGGGACATCATAATGAGCTCTCAGAAATTCTTACTCGTAGGGCGACCTCAGGGTTCGTAGCTTTTTATGAAGAAATGAGACCGTCAGTGACGCACAGACGCCATGATGGCCTTCTGCCAAAAGAAACTTACGCCCAAAAGAAAGTCTTGAGGCTGACTAATTAGCAATCGGTTTGATGGTTCTCAAAGACCTACAAAAAAAATAATAAAAATGCCTCACTACCATTGATGGCTCAACAGACATCTCGGTGACATTCAGATTCAAGATTTGCGTAACAGTCATTGCCGGGGAAATTTTTTATTTGTAAAATATTTTTTTTAACGCAGGCATTTATATTAGGCATTTCACGCCCTCATTGTTCCACTGTGATACTGTAGTCTGTATATATATATCTATATATAATATAACTCTATAAAACAAAATGGATGTGGGCTGGCATCTGTGTGATGAAACGGTGTCTGTCTTTAACTCAGCTGTTTGTAACAGGCGCGCGTGATTTAACATTTCACGTGGCGTGGCCAGTTGCGCTCTAACGACAGACTCCAAAGTTCACGTGTCAGAAGCACTTGACTCTCTGGAAATCGTAGCGATACGTCGTCGTCATGAGTGGACGTCATGCTTTTCATACATCGTAGAGGAGTTCTACGCAAAACTGCGTCTTTGACTCTTGACTTAAGACTTCATTTCATCGCATGTCTTTTTTATTGTGACGTGAGATTTCATTCTGTGCAGATGCGAATTATTTGATGAAGATGAATGACGTCATCAAGCCCCAACAGCTCCCCTTTTTATGGAAATTTAAAATAAAATAATTTTTAAACGATTTCAGAAACGTCTAAGACCACAACAACAAAATGTTGCAAGCGATTCGCAGACTTCAAGACCAATTTATTTTTAAAAAAAACATCTTTAAAATTAAAATAACAATGTACAGAGTCATGCTACAAAAAAAAATATTAAAAAATTATACTATTATTGCATTCTTTTACTTTATTTCAATGAAGCACCTTCCAGAAGTGCATGCCACATGACTCCCCCCCCCCCCCCCCCACGGACCAGATGATTGTGGTAGTCTACCAGTTTGTCCGATTGTCGGATTTGTAATGTTTAATTTTTAAGGTTAACATTACGCCACCATCATTTGTATTCTTTATTGCAAGTGTTATGAGTGGGTCGAAGCATTACGTCACCATTATTGTTTACGTCTTAAGAATCTTTCTGGATTAAATTTTTGTACTGAAGATTGTGTATGGGTCAGCTAAATTGTAATGTGAGCAGATAGTGATGTTTGTATTAATATGCACGGTTGTATGTTTGTATCAGTATGTACGGTTGTATGTTTGTATCAGTATGTACGGTTGTATGTTTGTATCAGTATGCACGGTTGTATCTTTGTATTAGAATGTACGGTTCTACGTTTGTATCAATATGCACGACTGTATGTTTGTATCAATGTGTGCGGTTGTATGTTTGTGTTGATCATTCGCTGCTGTCCCATCAGTCATGTTTTTTTTTTTTTTTCTTGTTGTTTTTTAAATTTTTTTTGTTTGTTTTTTTTTTTTAAAAAAAAAAAAAAACATTTTTTTTATTTTTGTTTTGTTTGTTTGTTTTTTTGTTTTTGTTTTTTTGTGTGGTTTTTTTAGGGTTGAAGGGGGGGGGGTTGGTGGGTTCAATCATTTGTCCATACTCAGTATTGATTTTGTGAAAGATCTAATGAGAGTTTGGTATTCTCATTGTGTCTCAAAAGAAAATAATTGTATGACGTCACTGGCTGTGTGCAGAATTTACTATGGCTATTGCATATCTTTTCCTGTAAACGTATAAGCTATAGCATTTAACCTTTTTAAAAAAAGATTGACTTAACATGATACTCGACAATTTACTCAGTTAACACATATACCAAGTAATGAAACATGTTACGGATACCTGCGGATAAATTCGCACCATCTGTCATAAACTCAATCTGTGACGCGCTAATGACTCAATCAAAGTTCATTTTAATTATTGTTTTTATTTATTTTTTTTATTTAAAATCAAAACTTACGGTTTTTATGAGCGGAATAATTGTTGATCTACATTTTTTATTTTTCATCCGCTTCCATAAAATATCAAGAATTAAATATCAACAAAACAAAACAAAAAAAATCATAAAAGGCTGCCCTTGTCATGAGCAGGGATCGCTAACCTACTCTGTCGTTTGACCTAATACCAACGTATCTAAAGGTAGAGACCATGGCCAAGCACCACATCAAAGAGGATTCTTGGCCTCCATTTAATTCTAAATGGCCAAGCATGATGGTGTTGTTGTTGTAAGTTTTTTTTTCCCCCTGCAAAGTCAGGAATCAAATTCACCGGACAGCAAGAGCCAGAGTGAGTGAGCGTGCAGCTGTATGATATAAGAAAGTAAGTTAATACAGTTCTTCGACGACTACCATAATTTAAACAGATTTTTTTTTTTTTTAGAGTCTTCAGAAACGTTTAATTTATGTTGGCGAATGAGGTCTGTTCAATGCATTCACGGTGTACAGTAACTTGGCCCATTGTTGGCCCTTTATTTATTCATACAGAATTACAAAACGATGTAATGTTAACAAACGGCACGCCTCGCGGAGCTAAGACCCCAAAATGACCTTGTACATAGATTTGATAGTATCTTAAAGCACGGTCGTATTAAACCAATGTTTGTTATATATATGCGACAGGTCATTGATGTTAAATATATATATATATATGAGACATGACATTGTTATACCATTTCTATGAATCAAATGTCAGACTTATCAAGTCAATAAAACTTATTCATTTTGAAATGTGCATTTCTCGTTATAATTTGAATTTCTGATCATTGTTGCTGTTTGTGTGTGGGTGTGTGTGGTGGAAGGTGGAGGGGGGGTGTTTTAATATATACCCCATGGCATATTGCTAAAGGATCGGTGAATTATACATAAGACATGGTTTGGGAAATGTGTCCAGGGCTTCGGAGGCTGAAGAGTGCGGGTATATAGCTCAGTGGCGTAGCTAGAGGGGCTGCGGACCTCTCCGGATGACACTTACCCTAGCTACGCCACTAGCGTATAGCTCCCATATTTAGTTGTTACGTTCACGCACAGGCTTTGCAGCGGTACATCGGGAAAAGACCACCTTGATCCTAATCACGTAAGTCTTAATCCAACCTGCAGACGTGTCTCATGGTTCAGTCATGCAGTGTTTATAAAGTTTGACGGAAGTGGTGAACAAGCTTCCAAATTGCAACAGGACGGTGTCAGTTTTATTGATATTTTTTTCCCCCTCTTCTTATTTGATCATAAATATTCATGCTCTGCGGACAGCAACATTACAACACTTACGGACCAACATGTTGGGGAAACAATACAGCTATGGCCTGAGGATGTAAGCAAAGTGCGGTTTATTTGAACTGAAGAAGTGTAATCTTATCAATCTTTTTATATACCCAACAAATTACACACAGATTATTTTCGAACGGGAAAAACAAAATTACAAGTGTAGAGATGGGATAAATCTCGGGTTAGCGGCACAGCAGTCAGGATATAGGAACAATGCTGCAGCCACCCTCGCGTGGGAACGGAGCCACATCCACGCCTTCGTAGGAACTATGCCACATCCACTTCTCTTAGGAAAAGTGCCACAGCCACTCTCTTATTTAGGAACAATGCAACACCTACTTTCTCATATGGGAACAAGGCCACACCCACTTTCTCATATAGGAACAATGCCACATCAAATCTTTAATAGGAACAAGGCCACACCCTCTTTCTCATATAGGAACAATGCCAGATCAAATCTTTCATAGGAACAATGCCACACCTACTTTCTCATATAGGAACAGTGCCACACCCACTTTCTCATATAGGAACAATGCCACATCAAATCTTTCATAGGAACAATGCCACACCCTCTTTCTCATATAGGAACCATGCCTCATGAAATCTTTCATAGGAACAATGCCACACCCTCTTTCTCATATAGGAACAATGCCACACCCTCTTTCTCATATAGGAACAATGCCACACCCTCTTTCTCATATAGGAACCATGCCACATGAAATCTTTTATAGGAACAATGCCACACCCTCTTTCTCATATAGGAACAATGCCACACCCTCTTTCTCATATAGGAACAATGCCACACCCTCTTTCTCATATAGGAACAATGCCACACCCACTCTCTCAAATAGGAACAATGCCACATCCAATCTTTCATAGGAACAATACAAAAGCTACTCTCTCATAGAAAGGCTCTATTTATAAATTCACCATGCCTATAAATAAATATGTTTTTTGTGTGTATTTTTTGGTCCTCCCACATTACGGTTGCCTCAATGTGAAGATGATTTCTAAACGCAGATCTCGCTTCTCAAGAACAACAACGACATTGTCATTTCAACACCAGGGACAAGGCTTGTGCTGCAGAGTCTCAAAATGTGAATTGTGAATGTGACTACTTTTTGCATATATCTTAAGTTGC